GTGGAGGAAGGTGGTACATCACGCGTCGTGATGAACCATGAGACTTCTCGAATTTGAACGCTTGCATTGGATCCTGCAGGAAGTTCGAAACAAAACGGCCGCAGAAACCATGATTGTAGTACCATCGTGATAAATGATTTCCATACTGAAATTAGGAAATACATAAGCAGGTTTGTATTTAATAAGTAAATTGTTAAAAAATACCTGTTGGTTGATGTTACAAGCAAAAACATAAAGTAATCGAACTAAAAACGCGATTTCATAGCTGCGAATAGGAATTAAGTCAGGATCGCCTTCGTATTTCATGTTTTTCAGTCGCTCCTTCACTTTGGTCGGTGTTAAAATGGTCGCATATGAATTATCCTGCATTATCGTATCTTCTCTAGACAATTCGTGGACTTTCTCCGGTGTTACATCAAAATTATGAAACTAAAGTCATTAAAAATAAAATAACTGCATAAAAATGATGGTTTATACATACATCTTTAATCTGAAACATTTCTATTAGAAAATCAGCGCTGCTTTTCAAAAACACAGGCGCCTTTAGTCTATCCTGCAGGGAAATCTCATCCTGACTTGGCAGCGGACCAAAGAAAAAGCTCCACAAACCATTGTCATTCTTTTGTGCAGTTTTACACTCTTCCAACAACGCCACAGCTTTAATTTCGCTGGATTTTGTGAGTTTTAATAATTCATACACTTCAGCAGCAGTTTGCGTTATAAACATTGGCTTATAACAAAAATTCGGTCCTTCTAGTTCATAGATCTTTTGCCGTACAAGGTTCAAATACTTAGATGCAAAAGTATCGTACCCCGATCCGAAGAAATTCGCAGGATGAACATTATCAGACGAGATATCCTGCATAATATGCGTCGAGCTATAAATATCAGTCGTATTGTTTGTTGACCAGCGCGATGTTGGCGACAATGGTGGTAAAATCGACGAGTAATTCAACGTGGAATGATGTGTGGGCGAGTAGTTCTTATTCTCTACAAGACTTTCAACTTTTTTCAGCATAGACACCAAGTTCGGTTGGTTGAAAACTTTGGTGAGTCGAAATAACATTTGTGCGTTCTTTGGACTAGCCAAGTCAATTCTTGCGAATCTGGGTAACAACTGTTGCAGTATCACGATGTAAACCAATAAATTCTCGGCGATAAACTGAATATAAGTGTTTTCATCAGCATATTTCACGGTTTCATCTGGAGGTGAAGATGAGGCAGGAATCATTTTATAAATTCCACCACTAAAAATGTTTTAATTAATTTTTAAACTTTTAAACCTTAAATGGATTTATAACTAACCCTTCATTGTATGTATCATGTGCGTATCTCCAGGGCTGTATGAAACTCAACCATAGTTCCAAAACAAGCCGGAAAGATTCATCCAGTGGCCAACGATGCAATAAATTTCGCAGGAAAACATACATACGTGATTGCATCATCGGTAAAGTGTGCTTTTTAAGTTCTCCGAGTGAACTGTTATCTTCTTTTGCTGTAGATGAAAATGCGTGTAAATGCTTTACAACAACACGGATTATTCTTATGTAGTCTCCACTTGGTAGTTCCGGATACTAATAAAAAAACAATTCAATTATAAATAATTTCGCATTAAAACTGTGTAACTTACATTAGTAGCAGTTGATAAATTATTGTACTGTGAGCAAACTTGATCATTACTCAACCACAAGTCAATAATCGCCATGAGAATGGTTTCACTCCTCCAGATTTCATTGCGTGGATGTTTTTCGATGTGTTGATGCATCACTTTCATATCGTTGATGTGCGGATCACCGAATAAATTTTGTTTCAATAAAGTACTTTGTTTATAAGGTCTAAAAATTACAATTATTATAAAGTATTGTAAGTTTCAATAATTAAAAAAAAACTTACTTGAAAACATGTTGGGTTGATTGAATTGGGTTCTTTCCATGATAGAATGTTATCACTGGAAGAATTGGTACATTCAGTGATGTAGGGAAGAAATGTAAGAGATATTCAGAACATAAGTTATAGTAAACTGTATTCCAATGCTCTTCACTAAGAACTCTTTGATGGCATGGGTTAATCAAGTGGTAAACAAAGTGAAATATGTAATAATCAAATGGATCTAAAAACACATTGAAATAAAATTAAGTTTTGTGTAAAGTAATATATCTTACTTAATAATAATGAAACTAATTGCCTTCCAGACTGATGATTTGTATACTGAATAATCTCATTATAGAATGGATTAACATTTGACCCTTCAAGCATCAGTCTCACTTTAGTCTACAAAAAAAAAAAAAAACAATTAAAATATGTTCATATAATTGTAACATACACAAAATGATAAACTTACAGGCAAATAAGCCAAACTAAAATCATATTTGATTGTAATATCATGCAGCAGAATATAAATCTGTTTAAACAAAACTCCTTCAGGTTTTAGAAAATTCATTATGCTGTTATATTCTGTGGTGTGAGTTTCTGCATGGATTTTTCTTAGATTCCAATGAAAAGTACCATGTGGACCAAAAATATTATCCACTAGGATTGGAAATATGGTTTGTAGGTCTTGCTTGGTAGCTCTTTCAAAGAGCAAAGTTAATTCTGCACATCTTGTATCTGGTCTGAGTAATGCATTACTCATTTGACTCTAAAATAATTATTTTAATAAAATTGCATAAATTTACAGATAATTATATACATACCAAGATACTATCTGATTCAAATGAAGGTAAAGCACTCATCATATTAATATTATTCATCATTATGTAAGGATGAACGTGTTTTAACACTTTTTTAAAGAGAAATATAACCAATTCTAACTGATCTTTGCGGCAGATGTTTGTTTACGCATAACCTGCGAATTCAAATGCAAAAATCTAGGGAATTTAATGCGTGTGAAAATGTCATAATTTAAACTTAAACTACGTAAAACTAATATTAAAAATACTTTATATTTTAGAAACATAAATTCTCTTCTTAGTTTATATAAATATCTATTATGAAAATAGTTTTATACTTCGATCAAATATTTTTTAAATACAAATTTACATCCACAGTAATTTTTCTAGTAACATCACGTAACCTCACACGTTCGTCAATTCATTGCACGTGTTTTTAAACTGCGTGCTTGTTTTGTGTGATAATCATCAATTTAATAATTAAATAAGTGCAAAACACGCAGTAAAACAATGGGAAATCGCAAAAAGAAGGTAAATTTAACCATTAATAGTATTATAAATCACTAAAACTATATTAATTATAAATCTATTTATTCCAATATTCAGTATGCGACTGGCGAGGGCGCACAATTCATAAGCCGTCGCGCTGCCCTCAGAAAACTTCAACTCTCCTTGAATAACTTCCGACGACTATGCATCATCAAAGGAATTTACCCACGCGAGCCCAGGAACCGCAAGCGTGCGCAAAAAGGCTCCACTGCAATCCAAACTTTATACCACATCAAAGACATCCAGTTTCTGATGCACGAACCAATCATCTGGAAATTCCGCGATTATAAAATCTTCAACAGGAAAATCAGCAGAGCCAGAAGCATCAAGGACTTTGAAACAATGAAGAGATATCTGAGCAATCATCCAACAATCAAGCTGGATCACATTGTCAAAGAAAGATATCCCACATTTATAGATGCCATCCAAGATTTAGATGATTGTTTGACTCTGTGCTTCTTATTCAGCACTTTCCCATCATTGGCACATGTGCCAAGAGATCAGAGTGACATGTGTAGAAGACTCACAATTGAATTCTTGCATTATGTGATTGAAGCGAAAGCTTTAAGGAAAGTTTTTGTTTCAATCAAGGGATATTACTATCAGGCTGAGATTAAGGGTCAGACTGTCACTTGGATTGTCCCACATCACTTCTCTTTTGAACCCCAACACAAATCTGATGTGGATTTTAAAGTAATGTCTACTTTCGTTGAGTTTTACGTTGTACTTCTTGGTTTTGTCAATTTCCGCCTGTATCACACTTTAAACTTGTACTATCCGCCGAAATTCAATGCTATTGAACAAGGAAGTTCGGAAAAATCCCTAGTAGATGAAGATGTGTTTGTTGCAGAGAGAGTAGCTGCTCTTAACTGCGGAATAAGTAAAACAAGCACTGGGGAAGCAGAAGAAGAAATTGAGATTGACAATTTTTCAAATGAAGATGATCCGGAAAAACTAGAAGAACTCCGAAAAGAAGCAGATTCTATAAGAAATTTAAAAACATTATTCAAAGGATTAAAGTTTTACTTGAATAGAGAAGTGCCTAGGGAACCATTAGTCTTCTTGATAAGGTGTTTCGGCGGAGAAGTATCATGGGATAAGAGTTTATTCGTCGGGAGTACATTTGAAGAAACAGACGAGACGATAACACATCAGATTGTCGACAGACCGTCAATGGACAAACAATACATAAGCAGATATTATGTTCAACCACAATGGTTGTTTGATTCGGTGAATGCCCGGCAATTATTACCAGTGAATAAATATTTCATTGGAGCTGTGCTGCCACCACATTTATCACCATTTGTTGATAAAGACAGAGATCAGAGTTACATTCCTCCGGAAGAGAAAGCTTTGTATGATCCTGCTCTTCTAGAAGAAATGCACAAACAAGATCAGGGCGAAAATGAGTCGGAAGATGAAGAAAACACTGAAAAAATTGATGAAGGTATTGATGACGACAATGAAGACGATGATGATGATGATGAAGAACAAGAAGAGGAAGATGTAAAACCACACAAAAAGAAACTAAGCGTTAAGGCAGGTGAAGTCGTCAAAGAAGTTCCATGGGCAAAGAAACTCCAAGAAAAAGATGAATTCAAGTTACGCGAGAAAATGATTAAAGGTAAACATCGCAAACTATACAAGAGCATGATGCGAGGTAAACAAGACCGCGCTAAAGAAGCATGGTTGCTCAAAAAGAAACGTAAACTTCATGATGAAATGCAAAAAGCTGAGAAGAAGACTAAAAAAGCCACGAAATCTACAAGCTAGGCGAGTAACTCGGATGATAAATCTGTATTTTTAAATAAAATACAAAACTATTCATTAAATATACAAATATTAAAATATTGTCAAAGAATGCTTGACACATTGCACCCTAAAAAATATCAACAATCCATCAAAATCGATCAGGAATTAATTCTAGACGCGGCTGTATTTCTGTTACCGTATTAGTTTATTCCTCGGTGTCGCTCTCGTCGCTGTCCTCATCCAGTTCGGGCATGGGAAAGCGTAGAATAGCGGCGACACCGGTGAGTTGCTCCAGCTGCTCGCCGGATAGATGCATGCTGGAGAAGATTTTCACATCGCCGCCAGCCTCGCGGACTGAATCAACCAGTTGGACGTATTCTTTGCGCAGCGGGACATTACTGCATCGGAAGAGGCTGTCGGTGATGAGAAGTGTTTCGATCGCTTGCGCTGCGCTCGCTTTTTCGACATGACGCTTGCCGTAGAAGGCTTTCGCTGGCTCGCATTGCAGTGTTGTGTAGAAAGCGTCCAGCACCTTCACTTCGCCCGCTGCTTTAGTATCGGCAATTTTTGATATGACTCCGGTGTCTTGCAGTATTTCTAAGAATATTTGATTTTTTTATGGTTTATTATGGTTTTAAGCGGTAAAAAGAAATTAATTTACCTTGGAGTGAATGTTTGAAGCCTGAACTTGAATGTACAAGCATAAATTTACTTCTGTTTTCAAGCAGCACTTTGTTATCGGTCTTGATGGCCATTTGAATCATGTAGTCGAAGAATTGATCACGAACGAAGCCAGGTGACGCGACTAGCACACATTTCACAACGTCGAAGTTGATGTGGCGCAGGATGGCTTGAATAACAGTGTCGTAAAACTTTGCTAAACCCTAAAAACATCAATTGTAAGCAAGTATGACTTTTACAACCGAATTCGAGCTTACTTTTCGTGTTGTTGAACAAAACCTTTGCGTTTTCGTGGAATAGACACATCAATCTTGGCGCGAACGAGCGTCATACTCGAGGTGATCAAACAAACGTGTGCTAAACCATCCTGCATGATAATAGCTGCCACATCGGCGCTCTGTGTGGGATCACAAGCCATATCAACACGCTCCAGCGCCACCGAATCCCACTCGGGTTTACGAAGGGAGAATTTCCGATTTAGTTCCAGATCCAACGTGTGATATGCACCCATTTTCACGTACTGATTCTCTTCGATGTTGCGCCCTTTGAGGCGCAGCATACACGCCTGTGTGTCAAAGTCGATATTCTCCACTGAAATCGTCAACATCGTGCGCACGCGACTTGAAGATGAGGAGCCTGTCGTTGATTCTGTCTGCACTTTGCGGACGGTGGACGCTCGCACCGAATCACCTTCTGAGATGAGATTATATGCATGCCACATGTCCTCTGGCTCTTCAGGGATAAGCCCAATGTCCCTATCAAAAGCATAAAAATATAAAATTTATTTAAAAAATTATTAAAAGTAGTAAATAAAAATATTATGTGTAAGTTTTTCAAACAAAACAAATGAATATTGTTTCAAGTGTATAATTTCAGTTTGTGATTAATGACTAGTATAACTGAGCATGTGAACTAACCTACAAAGTTAAATTTTAAGGTTTTAGATGCTTACCCGCCGCCCTCGCGATCGACATTCTTGTAAACGAGTTTCATTTCGATGGTTTTCTGTGCATCTTGCGATTATGGCAGCGAATCAATTTAGCAACGCGTCGCGATAACATATTACGTGCGATACTGCGAAAGGATTTTGATAAAAGCGAGCCAACTTTGACAACTCGCGCACTTGTATTGCATACGCAGAGGTCACGTGGCGGTTTACAGATGGCGCCACCACACGCAACAATATACCGAGAGCAACAAAACCTTTGCAGAAAGTAAAACTTGTTTTTTAAATTAATTTACAGTAGTTTAAAGTTATTACGTAGATAATTGGTATTTATACGAAATAAAATAGAAGTTGCAGGTAATAAAATCAGAATTGGATTAGAAATTACTTTTAATTTATCATAAAACACTCAGTTTAATAAAAAGTTTTCAAAAAATGACATTGTTGCCGATAATGTAGGTTTTTTTTATAAAAACATTCAACTCGAATTGATTTCAACATGGCAAAGCACATAATCGATGATAATATTAACTGACTCATTCAGAAATAATTAGTAACCCATGTTATCTATTGCAATGAAGTAAATTGTTGCTAATTTGCGTGTTTTTTTTTATTGCCTAGTGCACGTCGCATACGTCGTTGATGCGCATTGTTGCTGTCAGACAACACAGCTGTTTTGGCAGCGCACAACGGTTTTTCAATTTTTGAGGTTCTGTCGATTCACACAAGTCCATTCCGAATCGCTCTGAATGTAGCCGAGGGGCCGTGCGTGTTTGCCTTTTGCGTTGTGCGCCTTTTGGCACTTGTTTTTTTCCGTTTTTCCTGCGTTTTTCGCGTGACGGAACGAACGCGCGCATTTGACACGCGGACGCAGTGCGGTGAACGCTTTCAACAAGCGCGCGCGCGCGATAATAAAATTGTGTCGTGTGTGTGATAGCGGGCAAAAGTGCGAATCGGATTAATAAGGAAAAGGAAATTGCGCGCCACGCAACGGCCAGCCAGTATACGGACGCCGGTGAGTTTAATAATAAGCGCTGGGATATATTTAGAAAACGGAATTATGTCAGTAGTGGCATGAGGACAGAAAATCCGCAAATACGTGCATTATGCACGCAACATTTTCCTACACAAATTTCTTACATTACATTAATGTTTCGAATAGTTTAATATTCCAATAATTTTAAATCACTGTTATTCTTTTGTTTTTATATGAAGAAATATCAACAAAAGAGGCCATTGTTATATATCTAGTCTAGTCATCAAAGGATGAGATTAATTCGTGCTCTGATTATGCTAACATTTTCACTCCCAGCTGGAAATACAGAGTGTACAAGTATTAAATACGAACTATAGTCTATATAATCACTGTAGCATTACATCTTCTACGAAAATTTAGCGGAGCAGTTGTAGAAAACTCATTTATTACTGTTTTCTGTGTACTTCGTGGATAATTTACGGTTTTATGAGTTTATAATTGTAGTGTTCTCAATTTTACACACCTTGGTATCTGTTCTGTTTCTATTTTATTATTTTTTTATTTTGTCGGTTGGTTAAAGGTTCGCTGATGTTGCATTTCCGCGTTTCTTACAAGCATAAATGTCATTTCTTGTTGGCATAAATGTCAGACGCGAATTTTTATTCATATATTTACTAGATACTATTTACATTCGTTATCATTATGTAAAAAATTCTAGATAATATTATTTATCAGTGTTGAATCAGATATTTATGAGATATTTATGATTTTTATTCGTAAAACTGGTTTATTTTTATATTTGTTTGTACATTTGGTTGCCTATAGCACAACTCAAGCCAACAACATTTTTCGAAATAATTTTTCAAGTTTCACTCAACAAAATATGTTTTTTTTTTTGCATGATAAACATGATTTAACATTAATTTATAATTGTTTAATCACAAATTACTCATCAAAACAAAACTTTATTATAGAAACATGCTCCAATTTTCAATTTTTATTATTCACACCTCTAGAAAACGCGCAGTTAGAAACATATATTTGCATCTGTGATTACGTAAATCGTAAAGATGTAGACATGATGAGGCATGAAATATTATTGGGTATGAAGTAGGTATTTGTTAATTAAGTCGAGATGATGGGTCCAGTCGGTTCGCGTTGAGTCAGGCGGCTATTTTAAGCAAGTGTTCGATTAGAGTTGGTTCTCAACGAGGATTGTTTATGACTGTTTGGGTACAGATTCTTTTTCATTCACTTTATTCTCTAAAAACATTTCAGTATGTATAAAACGATGAAAGGTATTAAACTAATATGTATAAAATATTTTGGGGAGGTGATTAATAAAAGAAAAAGCAAAAATTATTCATGGCGAAGCATAAAGTAGAAAATTTATTACGAAATTTATAATTTTTACCAAAAATTCATCAATTACAATAAATTTTTTTTTATCATTTTTGATGTATATGTCAAAGTCGTATATTCAATTTCAATAGAGGGCGTTACAGGTTATGCATAAATCTATCTATAATATAAAAATGAATCGCAAAATCTGTTGGTAAGCGCATAACTCAACAACGCCTAGATGAATTTGCCCAATTCTTTTTAAATGTTCGTCAAAGTCCTAGGATGGTTTTACGGCGAGAAAAATTCGAATAATTGCCGGAAAACCCTACAGACAGCCCTTTTCTATAGGATAAAAGTTGGCATTGAGATTCAATCATAGTTATAGTTAGATAGTTGAATCCGAGATGGCGCGCTGATGTGCATTATTAGCAATTCTTTATATAAACAAAAATTTATTTTTTTTACCAACCAAACGAATAATTTCTATAAAAATATCTTCATCATAGTAAATAACATATATTTCCGAGCACTTTAAGAGACGTTTTCATGAAAATTTATTATTTCAATAAATTATACGATTATTTTGCTTTGATTTTGATTTCAAAAGAGAAAATATAATTTTTTTATGATGAATCTTTCAATGAAAATTCACCAGACGTCATGAACACTGCCCTATACCCAATATAAGCACACTTATGATAATTATACGGGCATGTAACAGATTTGAAATATGTGCGTGTGTTTATATGATCCAATTTCGCCATTAGTATGATGAAATTCAGCCGTGAGACCGTGACATCCCTGAAGCGAAGCACATTGCGCTGGCTTCACTGAAAAATATTTCATTTCAAACTATCTGCGATCTCTACACTCTATAGATGCGTCTTATTCATATTTAATATGCGACACTTAAGTCGCTGCCTCAATTGCAACACGCATCAAACGCCGTCCGAAAACTGTTCCACTGCTAATACAGCAACGCACGTCCTGATATATTTTAAGTAAATAATTTAGGTTAGTGTAACTCTACTATTTATCAAATTCGTGCGGTCTAAGTGTTTCTTGTGCGCTGGATCACTTCCAGGAACGCTTTCAGTTTTTTTGCTTCTTTTGCGTGCTGCGGGCATTGCACGTATTCCGAGAATGCGAAAAATGCTCGCAGACTAGGCGTCGCGACGCCGCACACGCCTGCGGGCGATCAGTTGCTATCGAAAATGGAGCGCGACAAGACGCATCGCCGCATCCTGCATACGTTCCTGCAGAATATCTCGTTTCGCTTTCATTGTGCGCCGATATTATTCGTTTGCGTCGTTTTATTAATTTAAAGATAAAAAATTCAAAACCAGCAAAAATAAAAATAAAAACATGGAGTTCCTATTATTATTACTATTTGCGGTATATTTTTATATAAAAACATAAAAAGTATAAAAATATTAATTTTTGTTTTTTGTTTCAGTTGTGCGAGATTAAAAGACTAATGCCCAATTAACGTACGCGAAACAAATCAATAATTTTTATTTAAAATTTCCCTTCTAAATTTATAACCTGTGTAAATATTGTAAATATTTTAATCATGACTGAACCGAACGCGAACGTGAATACGAATATGAATGCGAATGAGGCATCACCGGCGCCTTCACCATCTTCGCCTGTTTCGCCTACTAATGTTAATCCTAACTCACCGCCTGATAATAATAACGAAGATGCGCGTTCGGTGGCGGGTAGTGAAAAATCAACGGCTAGTTCGCGATCGGGTATACCCAAATTTGGCGGGTCCAGGTTACCGACGAAAAGTGGTGCTCCGCTGGGGATGGCTTCAGCGCATGGTGCTTCTAATACGTCGCTAGCGTCCACTTCAGGGGTTTCAAGGATTGGACGACCTTGTGCTGGACAAGCGAATAAGGCAGCTTTACCGAATGTTACACCGCCGAAAACTGGTGAGTGATTTTTATATTTTATTTTTAATTTATTTTTTAAACGTTTTTTTGATAGAAATTTAATTATTTTTTTAATTATCGCGTTTTTTTTTCTTTGATTAATTATGATTTAAAGTAGCCGGGCGAAAAAATATTGTGTGTACAACGCGTTAAAAATTATAAACACATAAATACGACGTTATTATGTGATTTAGTTATATTTTTTGTTTGTTTTATTTTTATGAGGTAAGTAAAAGTGTTTTACATTAATTTTAAATTAAAATATATTTTTTTTTTAATTTTTATTGTGAATTTAATTTGTTAACGCGTGAGCAATTTTTCTCTCCTATTCTTATTTCCTTGAAAATCCATTCGTCACCGGCATTTTTTTCTCTTTGATATTTTGCTTTCTCATTTCTTATTTTTGTTCATTTTATGAATCGTTAACATTTCGTTTATTTTCGTGCCATTTGTCACCTTCACACAATTCATACGTAGTAGAAAACAAGCGTC